CCGCCCACCTCACCCTCCACCCGGATCTCTCCCTCACGCCCACCACGCTATCCCTTTTAGTTGAACTAACATAGGTGAACGTGTTCAAAGCAAAGCAAAATTCACGCCCTTTTCTTTTTGTGGAAAATTGTCTCTGTACATGTATGTACATATTAGAAGGGGAAAGATGTTAAGATATGTGGCCTGTGGGCTCCACAGGGTGCCTGCAGCGTTAATATATTTTAGAAATAATATATCAAATAACTCAACTAACTCCAATCTTTAATCAATTATTAATTCTTCTTTCTTTGTAAAGAGAAAGCAGGCTTTTCTAGACTTTAAAGTCATTCTTTGGGAGGTCTAATGGTTTAGTAAGGAGCTTCAAGGCCACCCACACAAAATTCACCCGGAGGGAAATCTCGTCGAAGGACACTCATGGCAGTTCTGGATCACCTGTGTACGTCAACAGAAGGGATACCGTCTCTCTGAAGAGGAAACTCTGTCTCTCTTCATCCCTGTCTAGCTCACACATCCATTTCTCTTTGCTTCACAGGTTTTAAACTGGTTTTTGCATACTGCTATATAATTCTCTGTCTCTCTCTGTTTATCTCTCCCCCACCTCCCTCCCTCCCCATCTTCTCCATCCCCTGTTCTTTTTAATCCCCTCATCCCTCTGTCTCAATTCCCGTATCTACGCACCCCCCAGGCAAAGCAGTGCTCTGAGTATCACATCACACAAAAGGAACAAAAGCGAAACACACAAACCAGCCTCAACTTACACTTGGTTACTCAAAAGAACAAGAGTCAATGGTACTTGTCCTAGCATTTTGGAAGAGGAAAACAGGAACCCATCAAACCAACCAACCAACCAAACAAAGAAAAATTCCACAAAGAAAGAATGTATTTTGTCTTTTTACATTTTGGTGTATAAGCCATCAATATTCAGTGAAATGATTTCTTTCTTTTAAAAAAAAATGGAGGAAAATAGCAATTTACACGAGGTCGTTGGCCCAGGGCGTTAAATTTACAGATTTTTTTAACGAGAAAAAAACACACAAAAAAAGCTACCTCAGGTGTTTTTTACCTCAGCACCTTGCTCTTGTGTTTCCCTTAGAGATTTTGTAAAACTGATAGTTGGAGCATTTTTTTATTTTTTTAATAAAAATGAGTTGGAAAAAAAAATAAGATATCAACTGCCAGCCTGGAGAAGGTGACAGTCCAAGTGTGCAACAGCTATTCTGACTTGTCTTCCGCTAGCCAAGAACCTATATGGCCTTCTTTTGGACAAACCTTGAAAATGTTTTTTTAAAAAAAAAAGATGACAAAGAAAAACAGAGAGAGAGAATATTGGAGATGTCCTGAATTTCAATAGGGTACACGCCATTAGGGCTTTTTGCGCTAAAGGATGAACATGTACTGGTTTATGTGAACAAGCCATTTTACCACCAGACTGCAATGCCAGTTTCCTCTACTGCAAACAGTGTTCTGTGACAAAAACAAAAACAAAACAAACAAAAAAAAAAGAAATATATCCAGCTAACAAGATCCTGGTGTCTTGGTCTCTTATTTTACTAAGCATCGCCCATCCCAAAGCATCAGCTGAGCTCCACCTTTGAGGGGGCCTCGGGAACCAGGCAGTGTGTACTGTCAGGACTGGGAAGCTACCCTGAGGAGGCTGGTTCCTCTGGACAGGTCTTGGGAGAAGCTACACTAGGTCAGTGGCACTCAGACTGTGGTCCTCATACCAGCAGCATCATTGTCAGATGGGAACTTGTCAGACATGCAGATTCTCGGGGTCCACCTGAGTCAGAAACTCTGAGAGTGGGGCCCACCAGTCTGTTTCAGTGAGCCCTCTGGGTGGGTCCTGTATGTGCTGGAGAACCACAGAACTAGAGGGGTGGATACTGACTGCACAGTAACCAGGTGAGACTGGCCCTTATCTTTAAGAAACGTTAAGCCTGGTCAGGAAAAGAGCTTATTTCTATGTGGGGAGAGGGAGAGGATAACATGCCTGACAATTTAAGTGAAGAAGTACCTCACCCCCCCCCCCAGAAGCCCAATTCTAAGTATTCCAGGAGACAGAGAAGGACAGGGTGGACCTCGGACTAATGGGGGTGGGGTGCAGGGGTGCTTGTACTTGGCACTCCCACCAATGCGACATGATAAGGTTGCACAAGGATGATCCCGCTCCACTTAGAAGCCCCTTTCCAAGTCAGGTGAACAGAGAAATGGCACACCTTTAAATGAAGGGCTTTAAATACAGGCCAAAGGGCTTGGTAATGAATCTGTTAAATCAGGATGGGAGAGAGGAGACACAGGAACCTCCAAAAAGGCACACTCGGCTCCGCTGCTCAGATTTCATGCCTTGGCCTTTATCCCAGATGGCAGAATTTGAGGTTTAATTCTAGCTCCTAAACTGCCCATTTCCAAAATACTTGTTGCTGAATATGTGAAAGACAGGAAAGGAAGCACTAAGACGATGCCTGCCTTGCCCTCATACAGAGGCCCCAGAAACTGTCCTAGCATTGCAAAAAATGAAGGGGGTGCACGTGGAGAGACAGGAGGCAGACCAGCTGGCCTTGCTCCTAGGCGAAGATGTTCTCCCCACAACCCATTTTTCTGAGAACCCAAGTGCTGGATTATTTAGCACTTGGACTTGGCTCTCCTGAACATCCCAAGGGCAGCACAAGCACGAGACCATCCCTTCACAGGACGAAATCCTGTCGTATCTCACTGTAAACAAGAACAGCCTTGTGTGTGTGCACTGGGCTCTGATGGGTTACTCACCGCATGCGGGCCCAGACTATTACAAACTTTAAATTCATTTTTTTTTTGCTGTAAATCCCAGACATTTCCTGTCTTGACAAGACATCCTGACATCACAAAAAGTCCTAATTGAACTTAATTTTACACAAAATAAAAGGACAATTGAAGTCTAATGGAAGCCCCTGGCCTCCTACCACTCATGTCTGACAACACCACTAGAAAATACCCCTGATGTGTGCCGACAGTTGTTACCACCACCTTTTATTTCATCTCTCCGTTCCCCTTAAGGTACTAGTGAATTAAAATTTAAGACTTACCCTGTATGCAGGTTAATTTTCTATTCTAGCTCACAGCAGCCACAGAGTCACTGTCTTTCTAGAAGCCACAAGTGCTCTTACTAGCTCCTGCTCTCCCAGAAACAGCCAGCATGAGGAGAAGCCTCACGGAACAAAACTAGATTCTCACCTGACCTTGAGGCTCCCTGTATTCTCTTGTAAAAGCAGTGATTTGGTCACAGAAGATACTTGGTTTGTTCCCATGTTAGGATCTAACCTGATCTCTCAAATGTGGCTGACAGTAACAGTGAAGAATATTCCCATTTACCTTCAATAAATTCTAGTGACCAGGGCAAACTCTGAATGAAGAACCAAACTGAATCTGATCCCGGCCTCAACTTATCTGTAATTTCAACAATTTCCAATATTCACTGACTTCTATGACTCCTGAATGTCCCCAATTCTCCCAAAGCTACAAAATTACTTCCAGTCACCCTCTGAACCTGGCAAAACCTAGTCTCAATCCTAGAGTCACTGAATAGCAGGATTGGGAAAGGACCTTTGAGGTCGTTTGGTCCACTTTCTAATCTGGAAAAATGTCCTCCAGAATCCCTCCAGCAGCTGGCAAGGGAAACGGCGGCTTTAAGACGGGCAGTTCTGTCCACGTGCAGCCCAGTCTCAGGTCCGCCTTCCACCCATCTGAAATCCGCTCTCCCTACAACCCCCACACAGCGGCTGCTACACCTGACTTAGGACAACTCTCCTAATGTTTGCCGACAACTCTCCTGATGTCCTGTCCTCCCTTCTCAGTTCCTCCAGTCATCCCTCATCTCTGGGACTTGCTTTCTCTCAGCTCTCAAACACCATATTGTGAAGGAATACTACCCCAGGCTCCAACATCCTACAGATTCCAAAGCCACAATAGTGGATGGTGTGCATGAGAGGCCTTGCTCAAGGGACAGAGCCACAGGCGGTGATGGGGGCTTCCCGGGGGCGGGGGAGCACGCCATGATCCTAGGGCAGGCCTGAAGGCAGAGACGGGCACCCTGTACCGGATCTCTAGGGAGTCTCGCTTTCTCATCAGGAAGATAAGAGAAAGCCCAGGCCCAGAAGTTTTCTCCCTGCTTGCCTGTACTCTAGCGATACAACTTTGTACACATCACAGCCTCTCCTCATCTGTAAAATAAAAAGTTTGAACACAACGGTCAGTCTTTGATTCTAACTGATGTGTAACAAGGGACTTCTAAGTCAAAAATGGATTCTGGTTATTTAGCAGCCTTCAGTGTTCCTTCTTACAATTTCCCATTAAACATCAAAAAAGAAAAAAAAATTAAGTGCACCAAAAACAGACTGAAAAATCCAACCAAACAAAAACAACTCAACACTAAAAAGCACGGGAGATGGACAATAATTATAAGCTATACAGAACTGGAATGGGAAACCTCCAGTGCAGGGCTTGGTCTAGTTTCACGCAACCACTTTTTAAAAAGATAGGAACATGCATACTTGCCATCTCCAAGGTGTACCCAGCACTTGCCCTTCCCACTGGATGGAATGCAGATGTGGAGCCAGGAGACGTGGTGGAGCTGGAATGGCCATCTTAAAACACAAAATGGAAGCCAAGTGTTAAGGAAGACTCCTGTCACTGGGACACTGCTACCTCAGCGCTGGACTGACTTCTTAGGTTCAAACTGGCACCTGAG